AAAGTAAAACTCGCCTAAATGGCTCTAAACCACCTCCAGGAACCCAGAGACATCAAAATAACGCAATGCAAACACAAGGTAAGCCATTTTATTCAAATTCTTTTCTACACGTAGCATTTAGAGTAATTTTCGAAGCATTCTCATACGTTGTCTTATAAACGGCTAAAATTGTAACGCAATCGCCAACAGAATAATGTCACGCATTAATCGTATTCAACGTCTGGGCCGCCTGTGGTCTGACCAATCATAATGAAAGTAACACGATTAACCAATCAGAACTGGGGATGCAAAACGTGCAACAGGTTTCAAGCGCGGGAAAATGCAGCTAAGCCAAGTTGCGACTGGTTTCTTTTGATTGGTTGAAAGACAGCAGGTTTGTTTTGATTGGTCTGTTAGATTTTATTGTCAGTAAACACAAGAGGAAGGCCATCAGAGAAGAGCAACCTCCTTCGAAACTCAACCTTTCGTTTGGTTGCAGATCCCACTGTTGTTGGCCTGGCCACGTGAGATCTGGTTCCGAGATTACATGACCGCTTTGCGCCGAGTGTGTAAGCGCATATGAAAATGGAAAAACAAAACGGCCGAGCCACTTGTTAAAAATTTTGCACTTACAAATTGTGTCCTCCGTCTCTGCTTTATCTTCAGAGCTGCTCACATCTTGTTCAACTGCGGTAGAGAAGTTGAAAGTGCAGCGAATTTTATTATAATGTGGCAAATAAGATTAACTAAAGGCGCTATTCAATTGCTATTGTACCTGGGGTTTCCTCGCTTGGCGTCACTTCTGAAGGTTTATTTAATATCTGATCAGCAAGAGCTATTCCCTAAATACAAACCAAAACAAAAAAATATGGACACTTGAAAATGACAAGAACGTTCGTTTCAATTTTCGAAATCACTTTATCACTTAACACAGTGATTAAAAACAGGATCTTCAGAGCAATGGCCACAATAGGCGCGCTTTACAAACACAATTGACAGCAAACGGAAGCAAACCACCATCTCAGTATAAACCACTTTCATCTCCTCTCAAAGCAGTTTCCAACTGAATGTCGTAAAACCAAAACCACTCTGGCCAATCACACAGACAATCCAATGAACCAATCAAAACTTGAAGTGAAGACAGGTAGCTGACTTGAAGCGCGGGAAAACGTGCGTTTGGGCGTCACGATTGGTTTTTGTTTTACTTCTGACTGGATGAAAAATTGGCGCAATTCTTTTAAGCCAATCGCTTAACCTACTAATGCAAAACCAAAGCAACTAACAGTTACTTTCGACAACGTGAAAACCGCTCTATTTCACTCTCTTTTTATTATTCTTCCCTCTCTACTTATAAGCCTGCCAGCGGGGCTTTAGTCCGTGGTGTAACAAGAATACAAGAGATGCACCGGAGCGCAAACAAATCCTTACCTTCCTAGACAGTGCATCCACTAATGAAGCTTTTTGGTTATCTTTCTCGCTGTTAAGTCACAACAATAAATTGGAGTTAGTAAGTACAAGGTCTTGCCAACAGTTCGATATCAGCTCAAACTTGTTTAGAAAATGCTCCATTGGGCTGAAGGATGTTGTTAACGAAGATGACGGTAATAAAACTACGCGTTTGATAATTGTTGTTGGAGAATTTCGTGACCAGTTTTTTTTTTTTTTATCTACCCCTAGCCTCAAATTTTAGCCTGGAATTTGTCGGTTGTCGTCAGAAGTTAATCAGGGGTTGCGGTAAATCACGGCAATTGTTCTTCCACCGTGAACGCGCTACAGCTTTCGTTTTTCAAACGACGATAAAAAGAACAATTGTTTNGGGCTTTAGTCCGTGGTGTAACAAGAATACAAGAGATGCACCGGAGCGCAAACAAATCCTTACCTTCCTAGACAGTGCATCCACTAATGAAGCTTTTTGGTTATCTTTCTCGCTGTTAAGCCACAACAATAAATTGGAGTTAGTAAACATGTAAATGACAATTTTATAATTAGTTAACATAAGTCAATTGTAAATATGTAAATAGCAATTTCTATTTTAATTTTTCGTTTTCAAATATTTTGTTGCTCGGAAATATTAGCTGGTCAAGCTACTCTGAAATTCGAGCTTAAATAAAGTTTATGTATGTATGTATGTGTAAGTACAAGGTCTTGTTCAATTGTTCTTCCACCGTGAACGCGCTACAGCTTTCGTTTTTCAAACGACGATAAAAAGAACAATTGTTTGAAACAATAAATCTGTATATTACAAAAAAATACCACAAACGTGACACCTGGTGCTACCGGCTTGCGGTTTCCAGTCGAAAACGTGGATCTAATGTTTTGATTATAGAAAACTGTGCGGTACCCTGAGTCGGTGACACTTGTTTTATTTGCATGGGATAAGTAGTATTTTATTGCATATTTTTAACCTAAAGTAATTAACTACCAGCGTCTAGAAAGCCGGTTTAAGTTTCCGTTTAATTTGAGGGAACCACCTTAAATACTGACAAAGCCGGTTTTTGACATCGAAAGCTTTAGTATATGTCAATAAACAAGATGGGCTGAATTACTTGAAGCAAGCTTTGTTACATTTTGTTTAATATTCCCGAGTACAGTATTGACAAGACAGATGTAATCTGTACCTTTTTATGGTAGCTGCCTCTGGACGTGAGTCGGTCTTCATACCGTAGTAGCTGGACAACTCAACAGGGTCTATCTGTAGATAACATGGCAAAATAACAATGTCAGTCGGTTAGTGAGTGGGTCAGTTAGTGCATAGATAATAAGAATACAGAACTGTATTCATCAGTCTTACCATCTGTATGATTTTTTCTGCAGCACCTATAATTTGTGGAAGCTTTTGCAGCCGATCCTATGGAAAAAAAGTAAAAACACGCTAGTTAGATGCTACATTATATGTGGGCAAAAATAAAGTCATGCCGCGTATATGAGGGGCGGCGTGTAAGCGCGAATCTATATTTCAATGGTTGTCTCAACTCGACACCAACTAAAATCAGCCAATGGCTACAGTTGTTTTAGACTGTAAACAGTCTCTTTCTTTTCCTAGCGTGCCACGCGAATACATGAATGCCAATAAAAAGAAGAACGATGGAGCAGCAAGAAGCGCGGGCTCAAAGAGAAGGGTTTTTTTTTTGTCTCGCCTCATTCTCTTCTCGTTTCTTTCCCTAGCTAATCGGCAAAATTGTAACTTTTCCAATCGCACAGAGGATTTGAGGGACAAAACCCGACTGCGATTGTTTATCTGATCAGCTTTTCGGCTAGTACAGGACAAGGAAACGTAGCAGCTTAGTGTGTGGCAATCCGCGTCGTGAGAGAAGGGTTAAAACCTGACCGGGGTCACTGTATTGTGCTGTCAAACAAGACACTTTGTTCGGTCTGATAAGCGTCACTAATCACGCTGGAGCAATCTTGGCTACAAGCAAGATGCTTGGGGAAGGGCTACTGTGGGAAGTCTACGAACAGGAAAACTGATGAATCATTTGGCTAGTCCGATATCTAGGATTTGAGCTTTATTATTTTCTTGAGGGAAACCCAGTTGTTTTAAAGGAAGCAGTAAACACCAAGGCAAAAAATAGACCATGCATGTTGAGTCGTGCTTTACAATTCTTTGTTTCTCGGTCTATTCGGGAACGGCGTAGAAACAGGACTAATAGCTAGTCACTTCTCGGTCCGTCACGCAATTAAATACAAGAGATAATTCCACAGTTTTTTTTAGCAAGTGTCAAATCAGAGAACATGAATCATACCTTGCAATTATCCAAGAAATGAAGTCGTGCTACATAAAGTGGTAGATGATCAGAATACTGTTCAACTAACTCATCAAATAGACTGAGGTCGTCCAGTCTGAAATGAAAATGAATATAGTTATCTTAACAGCACAAAATAATATTATTTGGCGACTGAACATCAGGCACTACACCTCTGAGCTCAGGAAACTCAAAGTCTAAGTGCATGAAGAATATCGTTCTCTTGTATTCTTTTTACAAAGTTTTGTACTTTGCTTATTTACGTTACGTGTTCATAATGACTATCTCTCTTTTTTTTCCTTTGATATTCCGGGGAGGGGGCTATGGCAAAAGGTGAAGTGACACTTACTTTAAGAATAAGCCTCGCCCTGTAATAATACCCCTCTTCTTGGACGTCCGAAATTACGATAAGCTTCTATTCACGGGAAGAAACCTGCAGAGCTTCAATTTTTCATCAAAGAACGTAACAGACCTCTACGGCTTGTTTCACATTGAAACATATCCACGTGGAAATGAGATATGGAAACAATTCGCTAGAGAACATCATATACCTTCAGCTGAAATAGGCAATTTACATACAGGAGAAAATGAGGTAGATCGCACTCACCTTGGTATCCAGGAGATTTTAAGGCCTCTCACTGCCTCCTCGAACTGTTGCTTGGGCTGAAAATTGCACAAAGAATTACTAATAGTAAATTCTTGAAAGATGATAGAGGGGTTTTCAATTGATTGTCGAAAGTAATCAGGCAATTACTTTGGTTTTGGTTTTGCTACGGTTTGAGATTGGCTGCGTAGTGTAACTGGTAAGTAATTAGTTTTGTTTTGGTTTTACGACACTCCACTGAAAACTGCTCTATACACACACGCACCTCAAACAAACAAAAAAACAAACTCCAGCGAAACAGTTAACTCAAACTGAGACTGAAGCCGTCACCTTACCTCACTTAACCCTAATGATGATCAGAATATAATTTCTCCTCACAATATGAATATCATGTCAAGTGTGTTGCTTATGAGAAAGCAGGAACTTATCACAAAGACCGATTCCTTCAAAGTACAATCGAATTCCAGAACTTGCACTGAAGTAAACACGGCACGGCATCGGAGTAGGAGATCGAGCACGAGCAACGACAGACCTAGAGCGTGCGCTGGTCGGCAACAGGAGGAGTGAAGGCTGTGGGAGCGCAACTAGACTAAAATTCGAAACTTAAGCTCTTTCTCGAATAACTAATGTCTAGATGTCCATAAATTCTTTCCTTGAACTGTACCTGCTTTTCTTCTGGTTTGTTCGTGGCAGCTTTATTGTTCTGTTTATTGGCTGACACAGGGACAATAAACTGGACTGGATACGTGCACTGTAACAATTATAAGCGTAACAGAAAAAAAGTTACCTTTCCCTCCGTAAAATTACAATTACAGTCTGAGCCCTACCACGAAAATCTCCTGAGCCCACGGTATCAGGGATGTTGCTAAGTAACATGACACGTGCGGATTACGACAAGCTCACGTGACAGTTTTCGGAAAAACTCGTCTTGATTTTGATAGGACAAAAGGAATCGGGAAGTCTTCGGATCTTTCAGCTAGAATTCAACGGACACGGGGCTGTTTCTCTGCCAAATAGCTGAAAAAATTCCAAAAAGCTCCCTACGTACAATTTTCTTCCTCCAACATTTTCTAGTACTACCACTATTTCTCTTCGTTTTTGACATCTCTTACACTATTTAAATTCAAAAATAAAACAAAAAGCTGAGATAAAAGTTTCGTTTAGTCGGTTCATGAATTAGTAAATAAATATCTTAACTGTCTGACCACTCCCCCCTGTGGGATTTTTTACGGCCAATGGAAACAAACAATGAAACAAATAACGCTAATGAACATAACATGGTTAAAACTGCCAGCTGGCAGGAGACAGACCAGTTGGCTATTTTACAACCGTGGCCAAGGAGTTGAACTCGGGTCTACCGGAAACAATCCCAGCTAGTGGCCAGAAAAGGACTTGATCCCGCGATCTCCGGATTTCAAGTCCGACGCCACAACCGCTCGGCAACGCTGCCTCCTCCTAGTGAATGCAAAACAAAGCAAAATACGAATTCCTATCCTTACCGCTTTTTTACCAGTCTCACTTTTCACGTAAGAAACTGTCCCCTTTAGAATGTGACCAGGCTTGGCAGCTTTGGGAATCCTGCGTTTGAGAAAAGGGGTTAAAGACCATAAACTTTAGAGTAAGATTATCAAAAAATCATGGTTATATCTTATGGGATACAAAGCGTGGCTGAAAAATTCTGTCTGCTTAGTTTTCCTGAAAAGTGCAATAATTTATTGACAACTGCAAACAATCTTCAGAAAAATGGCCATTGGGTTTAACAAGATTCTCAAAGCCATGGCGAAAATGACTTGGTTAAAACAGTAGGTAACATGGATTTCCTTCAACGCACTTTCATTCTAAATTTTACAGCAAACGTAAAAACCAATCCCAAAACAAAGGTTATCCGCTAAGACAAAGCCAATCATTGCGACAACAACTGTGTAATAGGCCAAACAGAACTCGAAGCTAAGCTATAACAAAACAAGGGCGGGAAAACATTTGACCAGTACCCAACACGAATAAAACAACCAGCTACAAGCTCGGGAGAACGTGTAGCCGGCAAAAAAGGCGCGAAACATGTGACCAGTAACAAGCGCGCATGAAACAACCAGCTGCAAGCGGCGGAAAAGGCGCGAAACAGGTGACAAGAGCAAGCGTGTAAGAATGTGTTAACGGTGGAAGGACGGGAAAGCGAGTGACCGGCAGCAAGAGCGGGAAAATTGATGCAAATTCAATTACAATCTGTTATAATTTTCCTCTTATTGGCCAACACAACATCTATGTCATCTTTGTTACGTATATTGCATGGCTTTTTTTATTGGAAGGTTGTTATAAAAGTGAGAAAATGCTAAACCGCTTACTTGTCATCCGCCACCGGCATAATGTAAACAGGACAGCTAGCGCCAGGACCCCGCGTGCATGAACTGAACTTGCCGGATTTCATGGAAGCAAGACGCGAGGAATGTGTTTCTAGAGTAATGGCGGGAGAGAGCTTCTGTTCTATTAATACAACCATGTCTTTGAGTTTCTCAAGTTGATCCTTGTTATCATGGCGAACCTGCAACGCCAGAAACACAAAATTAATTTACTCTGGTAAGGACTTAACTCACTTTCAATGAAACGCTTTTTACCAGCCTCAGCCTCATTTAAGATCACCTCATGTGTCTCCTACCTGAAGCTTAAGAACGTAGTCTCCCTTTTCTACCTTGACGGAGTACTAAAAAGAAAGAAAGAAAAAAAAGAAGAAAGCCCAACCAAATAATTAGCAACATAAGTCCTGAGTGATACAGGGCAAGTTTTGCTCAACAGTTCAAAGCTTTGAAAAGCAACTTTACAATCTACAAATTAAGTTGCCTAAAATTACGTCGTTGTGAGACAAAAAGTCCCTCTTTCTGCTTTTCAGGAAAACTTAGAGAGGCTGAGTCGACTCTACTCCACTCATCTCTTGAGAGGTCCATTGAATGAGTAGCAGTCGAGGGAGTCTCGATAAAACTCCTCGGCCACATGAAGGGCATCATGGGAAGGAAGAAACAGAGAGAAAGACACTCCCTTCATTTCTCCTTCCCATCACACCTCGCGTTCGCACTTCCATCGTTCATATTCCACGGAATTTCGAGACTCTTAATAATACCCCCAAAAATCTAAGGTTGCTTCAATAACAGTCTGTTGGAGGCGTTCTGTTAATTGGCGAGCAACGCGAAGAACGCACTAAATCCCTCGTCTTTTCTACTCGCCATTCTTCGTTGGAAAGTCTTCGTTAAGGAAATCTGCGTACCGCTGAACAGACTAACCGAAGGCCTGAAAGAGCCTACCCATTTGGAAGTGAACGTACAACAACTCGGCCTTAGTCTTACCCGGTCAGCAAATGCATCTCCGCTTCCCAGCATCCTCTTGTTTGAGTCGAAAATCATCCAGAGCTGAGACTCGTATTCAGATTCATACAAGAGGTCCGACAAGTATGTGGCATTGGGGCTAACTTCACCTGCCTTGGACTAAAATGAAAAAACAAAAGAAGAAAGTTATCTCGCATTGCATATACTCAGAATACATCAAGTAAAACGTTTTCGGAGCCCAGTGGCTTGCCTTCGTAACGATGCGAAAAGGCGCTGCCTCTTTTATTGTTACACACCAGAAAGTGGTAATATTTGCACTTTCACAGACGCACCTGATGGAAATTGTAAGTGAGAGTCAGGGCATAGATTTGCCGTCCATTTGGCAGGACATCCCTTGAACCAAGCGGACTAATCTTGTGTTCTGAAGGTCTGAAACAAAGAGAATGTGAGCGATCAGGAAGCTGCCTCATTCGACTACGCAACAGTCACACAAGCTACCGTCACTCGACGCTATCAGTGTGTAAATAGAAAAGCTGCTCGCTAAAAACACACGAAGAACGCTAATGTCTATTCAGCAGACCAGGCAAAAAAAAAAAAAACAAAAAACCGGCTAAAAAAGAGATTTACCACCGGGTAGAGGTTGACGATTGAACGACAAAAACAAAGATTGCAAACGCGTGCTGTTCATATTACTACGATTATCAGTTGAGTGAGGCGCGACGGAGCTTTGGTGACGAAGTTTTGGACTTGAAATTACGGTGTTGCACGGGCAACTTTCCTCGTTTCCAGTGGTAACAATACCGTCGCGGGCTTTGCCGCCAATGACGTCAAAGGCCGACAAGTTGCCACTGGAAACGGAGCCGGTTGCCCGCGACAACAACACAAGTTGAACGTTAAAACTCGGTCACGAACTTTCGTCGCGCCTTACTCAACTGATAATCGTAGCAATAAAGTAACCCAAGTTACCCTACGTAGAGCAAATGTTGCCCTATATTTAATTAGACTACAACTCATGGAAATGAAATACATGGAATACATGGATAACATGTTAACACCGCTAATAAAAAGAAAGTTAGCGATTGAATAGTCGAGTGAGTCCCTCGATATGAGCTTGTTAAAAAGGTCATAAAAATGTCGGTGAAAAGACAACAAGCTAGTAAACTACATACCTGACTAGCTGAGCGTGTGTTTTGAGCGACACTGTTGGTAAAATTTCCTCCTCTCTAAGGGCGGGTTTTACATCCACTCGGCAAACCTTTGACGTTTGCTATGATGGTAAAAATAAACTTCATATGGAATTACTTTCTAACAGCAGTGCATCTGAGGTACACACCAAGGCCAACAGATTTATTGAGACTCAAAGTGACGCACTTACCAATGTTATGCTTTTTTCGCTAGGTACGACTCCGTGAAATGTTACGCTTCTTTTGAGAGCACACTCTCCTAAACTTGCCCACCATCTTGCTGTACATAATTCTAACGTCTCACCGCCCTAATGAGACAAGAATGAAAAAATATCTTAAACGAATTTTTTAAAAACAAAAAATTGGTCAAGCCCGGAAAACCGATCACAACTTGGCTTGGGCACGTTTTCCCGCGCTTGCAACTGCTTACACATCTTCACGCGACTGACTACCACTAGTTACATGTTTACCCGCGCATGCTACTGGTTGCTGTTTTCCCGCGCTCGCCACTGGTTAATGTTTTCCGGCGCATGCCGCTCGCTCCAAGTTTTCCCGCGCTTACAACTGGTTGATGCTACTAGTTACAAGCTTTACTCATACTATAACTGGTTACACGTTTTCTTACGCTTCCCATGTTTCCTCACGCTTTTCACTGTTTAACGCTTAAGTGATTGGCTTGTGATTGCTCTAGTCTAGATGTCACAAGATTCACCAGAAGACCGCTGCACAAGATTTGCACAAAATTTGCACAAAATTGTTCTAGTGATAGGATCAATAGCGTGGCGCAAAAATGACGTCACGAAAATGTAACCCCCGAGTGTAACTCAGACAAACAAATCAAGTGATGTGGGATCAAAAGATGGTCCATCGAGGAGCAGAGCTGTAACCCTCACAAGGAGCTGCTACCAGTCTCACATTACACATCTCTGACCTGGTATATAGACATACAAAATAGTTTTTACCTTCACTGCGAAACTCAAGGTTTTCTCTCCCAGTGGGGTAAGGGTGAAAAATTGTGAGTACTCGTGTTCCTTGTATGACGACAGAGGTGACAGCTGTATGGCGTGAAGAAGAAAGCGACCATTGACTTCCTTTTCTAGTGACGACACTGAATATTCTGTTGATAAGGAGAGAAAACACATCAAACATTACCTCCGCAATACTGTGACGTTGAGGGTCAAATCTTACAGATAGTTACTAAAAAAATAAAATTGAATCAGCAAACGTAAATAAGATTGCGTGACATGACAAACCAAACTAAGCCGTTACTTGGGTTGTCACGCGCTGCACTGCACTGCATGGCAATGCAAAAGCGGCAGCGAATAGAACGTAAATTAACGGAATCAAAAAGAGTTTTAACACATTGCTGTCAAAGCTTCTTCATTTACCGTGGAGTACGAAGGAAACAAACTCAGTATTTACCTCTAGGTCAGTTATAAAACACTTATTACGATGACCACTATTACCTGCCCACGTTGCCCCTTCCGGGACGTGAACAAAACTCCTGTGGACCTGTCCAGGCTTGAATTTCACCTCTTCCATCTCGTACACGTAATGGTTTTCATCACTTACACTAGGTAATACAACAATCAAAATAAACTTTTCAGTTCCCCGTGTAAAACCTTTTACTAGAAATAAACACAAATTCAATTTAATAGATTTACAATATCATCACATCCTGCTCTCATACACAAAAGAAGAAAGTTGGAGGTTACAATATAACCTAAATTTTAATTTGTAATGAAGCAGTAAGCCACCTGTTTGGTTTAATGACTGTAACGGGAACTCTGAAGAGAGGTCCGCGCTGCGGACAGGTGATTTCATAAGCGGACACCTAAAACAAAGTCGGAGGAATTTGTTAAAACAAGCCAACAATGAAACGTGCCGCTGTTTAAGTGACGCTCCTGCAAACTGGCCTAGAACTCAGTGTATTCGCAAAAAGGAAAAAACAATTTCTACCATTATTCCAAGACCAAATTCTGTCTTTATTACAAAGATAACAACTGCACATGTAATTCAATGGAATACCGACACCTTGAATTTCCCACCTTTTGAACTGTCACGCATTAAATTTTGACACGCCAGGAAATAAGAAAATCAAAACAAGCACCCAAACGTGGCAAGTCTCAAGAGTAAAGAACCAGGCTGGGGGCAGTGGGGGAGATTGATTGGCGACTAAGAGTATCGCTAATCCCCACCTTCCCCTCTTCCCTAGATGGGTCCAACGCAGGTTGTTACTTCAAGCCTTCTATAAGGTTGCCGGCTAACAGTTCACTGGTGTCCAGAGTCCACCCTTTTCCCAAGTGAAGGGAGGCACTGTGAGAGTAAAGGTGTCTAAGAACACAATTTAACGACCCTGACTGGGGTCAAGACCCTCGGGGTAACTGCATTTTACTCAGCTTATAAATAGCAAAACAAACAATTACCTCAGCATAGTGAACACCATGTGCCAAACCACGAGGATCAACTTTCACATTAAAACTGCGCACTGAAAGAAATGTTCATGGAGTAAACTTCAGTTGACAAAACTCGTTGAAAGTTAACACCAAGCGAACACATCGACAGACGCTCTTATCTGTTTAACCGAGCAAGACAGCAATGGCTTTTTTTCACAAATCAACAGTAAAACCCAAAATGGTTTTGCTTGTTTAGAACGGTTTTCATTTGAATGATTGGTTTGCATTACTTTGCTACATGATTGGCACAAAGATTTCGCGCCACTTTTTATCCAATCAAATTAGTAAAACCAACACCAATCATGACGCGTTCGCACTCGTTTTCCCGCGCTTTGCGTCAGCTACATATGTTTACTTTGGATTTTGATTGGTTCACTGTATTGCCTGTGTCTGCTGTGATTAGCTAGAGTGATTACTTTGGCTTTGGTTTTTACGACACTCAATTTAAAACCGCCATATCCGAATTTCTTGACGACAGTTTTGCTTACTGAATTTTCGCTACTTCATCGCAAGAGTAAAATGGCCAGATGACGTTTTATGACAGCCCTTAGGACAGCACAGTAACTTGAACAAACCTGTGTTCATGAGGACAAGATGGTCCGGCACACTGACCCACGACACAGAACTGACCAAGCTCAGGCGGAGATTGAGGTTGAGTTTTTCTTCGTTAGCTTCATGTTTCATGATATCGGAAAAATGGAGTAAAACATAACGACAATTAGAACACTGTATACATCTATGTATTTTAAAGCACAGAATTGTTGTCCAGACACAAATTGCATTAGTTCCCTGTACTCACCAACATCCTCATTATAGACTGTGGTCACAGACACACTTTCACTGAAGGGTTTACACAACTGACGAGATTCTCGGAGATAAATTCCTCTTTTACCCCCTGAACAGGAAATCTGAGGAAACAAAAAAACTCCATTTAAAAAAAAAAAGATACCAAAAGAAAATGGAAAGATTGAAAGAATTCTGTAAATAACTGCATTTGATCACAAATAAATAAAGGGTTGCCTCAATAAATAATCTGTCGCCCATACGTATTATATGCCTATGATGGAAAATAATTAAAATCATAGCCCCTCATGACAGAATTCGATAATCTAGCCTCGTATTACCACAATGCTTGCATGATCCCAGACAAACTGCATTGTTTAATATGCACATTCCAGTGTCAAACGGACCCTGCGAGCAGAGGTCCCTTCGATCTTCCTAGAAAAGTCGAGAAAGATCGAAGGGACCTCTGCTCGCAGGGTATGTCAAAGGCAGCCTTCAGTTCCTTTAACTCATCATGTACGCAAGTCTTTTAGTCTCAGCTTTCTCCATTGTTCAAAGTATAATTAGCACAGTTTGGACTGCAGCCGTTCATTGGTCACTTTTAGGGAAATATATGTGCTGTCAGTGTGGATTAGATGTTCACTATGAAAAAGAAAAGCTGTCTAAATATGATGAAAGATTACATGCGTATACAGCTTACCTGAAACCTAACATCTCTTTCAGGAACACTTGAAAATTCACTGCAAAACTCAAATGCCTTGTCAACCTAAAATGAAATACAAAATACAGTTATCCCTATTTAGGTCCCCTAACTAAAATTACAATCTAGAATTTAAAATTTTAAAATATCTATTACGTAAATAATTAACAATTTAAAATTTAAAAAATTGAAATATCTGCTAAGTAAATAATTGACAATCTAAAATTTAAAGATTTGAAATATCTATTATGTAAATAATTAACAGTCCAAAATTTAAAATCTAAA